GACTGCAGCTGTTGTTTGATTTCACCTCCACACGGGAGGATCTCTTTCAATCCTTACTTTTAAATGTAGAAGAGGGCCGGGATAATACAAAGGCAATTTAATCTCATTAATATAAACTATTCTTAAATACTTTTCTCTTATTTCTATTGGCCTCCATTGTACCTTTTTTTTAAAGAAAATTATTCTAGTTTGCTCACAAAGATCATATACATTGCGTTTTACACTATTCTTCATTCACATTTTGTTCCCTATAACCATTCCCATGCATTATATTTTATAAAATCAATCATTATTGGACCTTGCTCATCATTACCCAAGCTCTTGCTGGATCCTGCACATTCCTTTACCCTCTCATTTACCCACCAAACTGTGCATCCCTGGGGCTTCACCCTTATCCGTCCTCACCTCTCTGTTCCCACCCCTTCCCACCTTGGGTCCCCATACAGGTTCTAGTTATCCTTCTATTTTAACAATAATGGTTTTATGTAGAATTTGTCCTTATAAGACTTAATTTCCTCTTGGCAAAGTTTGAATAGCACTTATAAATTTTTACATGTAATTTTTATTATTTGTACACATTGTTTAATATTTTGTTAACTTCTACTCCCTGCTTTCTATTAGATTTGTTTTGATTCCATGTTTCCAGTAGTGAGACAATAGCAAAATGGGACAAAATTAAGGAGAACACAGCTTTATTCAACTAATTTTAACAGGTAATATGAACACAGCCTCCCTCTCTAGCACAATGGTGGATTTTAAATGAGATCTTAGATTGAGTAGAATTGTTGTTTTAAGGTTCCTGGTGTCTGATGGCCCTGTCATTTATCTAGGTCTTGAAATAGATTTTATTAAAAGTCCAGATGTAAAACCAGTAAGTTGACTGAAATGCTATAGATTGGAAACAAAGAGAGAACTCAGTCAATTACACGTTGCTAAGGGCATCCACACCTGGAAGGACTTTACCTTCCAGAAGTTCCAGACTGGCACCCCCTCCAGTGCTCACATGACTGACTTTATCTTCAGTGTTCCATTTGGCACAGCAAGTGGCAGTGTCTCCACCACCTATTATGGTGATGCAGCCCTTGGAAGTAGCTTTCACAAGTTCATCCATGAGTGTTTTTGTTCCCTGAGAAAAAGCACTCCATTCAAATACCCCAAGAGGTCCATTCCACACAATTAGCTTGGCTGTGGCCACAACTGCAGCAAAGTTTTTGTTGCTCTCAGGACCACAGTCCAAGCCCATCCAGCTAGCTGGGATGCCAGATTGCACAGTGGCATGCCCAACTTTGGCGTTCTCATCAAACTGGTCAGCAGTGACAAAGTCCACAGGAAAGGTGATTTTCACACCATTATTCTTGGCTTTGGACATGATATCTGGGACAATCTTGGCTCCTTCTTCATCAAACAAGGAATGACCAATCTCCATGTTGTTGAGTACCTTAAGGAAGGTATAAGCCATCCCACCACCAATAATCATCTCATTGACCTTGTCCAACAAATTTTTGATGAGTTGGATCTTGTCTTCCACTTTGGCTCCTCCAAGAATGGCCAGAAAAGGTCTCTCTGGGTGTTCCAAGGCTTTTGCAAAGTAATCGAGCTCTTTTTTCATCAGAAATCCACATGCTTTCTGGGGTAGATTCAATCCCACCATGGAACTATGTGCCCTGTGAGCCGTGCCAAATGCATCATTGACATAAACATCCCCCAGTTTGGAGAGCGAAGCACAGAAAGCGTCTACTTGAGCTGGATCAGCCTTAATCTTCTTTCCCGTAGTGTCTTGCCCTTTCCCTTCTTCTTCCACATGAAAGCGTAGATTCTCCAGCAGGATGACTGAACCAGCAGCTGGGTTGGCACAGGCATTTTCCACCTCTGCGCCTACACAGTCTTGGAGAAACAGAACATCTTTGCCGAGCAAGGACTTAAGCTCAGCGGCAACAGGCTCTAGACTGTATTTGTTAGGCATAGGAACACCATCAGGTCGGCCGAGATGGCTCATAAGAACTACTGACTTGGCTCCGTTATCTAGGCAGTACTTGATGCTTGGGATGGCAGCCCTGATTCTCTGGTTGCTTGTAACCTTGTTTTGCTTCATGGGAACGTTAAAGTCGACTCTCATGAGGACCCGCTTCCCTTTAACATCTAGTTTGTCCAAAGTCAACTTACTTGAAAGAGACATCTTCAAAAAACGAAATTATCAACAGACAGACACCAGGTTCAAGATGTTAAAAGACGCACTTTACTGTTAAACGGAGGTTGCGTCTGTGGTGATTTTTAACGTTCTTCCTCCTGTTCCGCCCCTTCCTTTGCTAAATCTCTAGAATGGCAGGTGTGATTGGACTAGACAAGGGAGTCTAGCTTTTTTATTGGTCAGTATAGCTGTCAATTAGGCTTTGTCTTTATTTATTGGTCCAGATTAAAAACACCTCGGAGCATGAAACAACAGGATTAATTGATTGGCTTGAGAGGCTGCACGGGTGGGGTAGTTAAAGAAATCTGTGCCTCAGTGCCTGAAAAAGATACTCCTCGTGATAATATAAAGAAAAAGGGGGTGGGAGAATCAACAACCGTGTCCTCCTCCTGAGCACTAATTACCTAAAGTACCTGCCAACTTCTCCTTTGTTTTTTGGTTTGGAGTTCCCCCCACTTTCGTCCTCGTAAATATTTCTCCCAGGGATTATACTTTGTAAGCAAGTGTGGGAAGGATTTAAACAACTCCTTTCGTCTGATCTCAGACGAACATAAAAGGCTGATAATCGCAAAGAGAATGGGAGTAAAAAGTAGTATAGGTGATAGTGGGTTATGTTCTTGCCGCTGACAATCATGTGTGTTAACAACCGTCCTGCAGCTCCTTTTGCTTTGTGTATTTATTTATTTTTGGTACCTGTACAATTTAAGAATTAAGTTGAACATAATAGATTTCATGAGGGTGATTTTTTTAATTGCCAATATTTGTTGGAAGTGAATGGGTTTCTATTTTTTTAATAAGACTGATTAATTTGGTAATGAAAATGGACATTGCCTGTTAGTTTACACGACAGTTGTCATGGTTAAATGAATATGTAGTATAATAATGTCATTTGTGTAAAATTATTTTTCTTGGGAAAAGCGAATGAGATTAATGGATTTTTATTTTCGTAACTCTTTTTTATATCTTAGATAAGTCAAATAAAAAAGGTTAGAATTCTAAACACATTTGGTATGTTTCCAGAAAAAAACTCATTTTTATAGTACTATAAAATTCTTATTTATATATTTTGTATTTCTTTTATCACATTCCAATATTTGTGAGTCTTCATTCAATTGTTTACTAAAACAATTATAATACAACTCAATTTAGAAATATGTCGGCACTTAGACCTTTATAGTCCTAGGAAATAATGACTTTCACTTTAGATTTATTTTTTAGCAGTGAAGTATAATAAAGCGATTAAAAATCTGTAAGCATACAGTATTATGTTAAAATGAAATTCTATAGTCAAAGTGGAATAAACTTACCACTTCGTTTAGTAAAAGGAACTTTGTCTAATAATTTTTAAAAAGTCAATTCTTATTCAAAGTCAAATATTATTTAAAATGGGTAAGCCTGGAGGACATTATACCTAGTGAAATATCTCAGTAGCAAAAGGACAAATATTGCATGGTGCCACTGTTGTAAAATGGGATTGATATCAGGGTTGGGGTAAGACTGAGTAAAACTGGATAAATTGTGTATACTGCACTGAAACAGATGAGGGACTGATTAATTTAAAAGGTAATAGGGTATTATGGTTATCACAAGAGTCCACAACTGAGGAGGACCTCATGCACTTGCTGCGAAGGGTCAAGGACTGCAGCCTTCAGTATGGACTGAGGCTCAATGTCAAGAAGACAAAGATTCTCACCACTGGACCAACTGGCAGCGTCAGGATGGATGGTGAAGAAATTGAGATTGCGCACAGCTTCAGTTTGCTCGGCTCCACAGTCAACACTCTTGGCACCAGCAGTCAGGAAATCAAAAAGCATATCGCGATGGGAAAGTCTGCTGTTAGGGACCTCTCTAAAGTACTGAGGAGCAATGGTGTCTCTCTGGAGACTAAGGTGCGCCTGATACAGGCCATGGTATTTGCAATCGCTTGTTATGCATCAGAGCGTTGGACAGTGACTAGGGAGGACAGAAGGAGAGTGGATGCTTTTGAGCTGTGGTGCTGGAGAAGAGTACTGAATGTACCATGGACTGCCAGGAAAACAAACAGATTCATCTTGGAGAGGATTAAACCAAGCTACTCCTTGGAGGCAAGGATTCTGGGGCTTCATCTGACATACTTTGGACATGTTGCCAGGAGGGACGGGTCCTTGGAGAGGGACATCATGCTTGGGAGGGTGGAGGGACAGCACAGGAGAGGAAGACCCTCTATGAGATGGATTGATTCGGTGGCTGGGGTAATCGGGATGGGTGTGTCAGAGGCAGTGTGGTTGGGGCAGGATAGAGCAGGGTTTAGGGCTGTTGTGCATAGGGTCGCTATGAGTCGCAAAGGACTCGAGGGCACATAACAACAACAACAACAGTGGAATGTACTTGGCGCGGTGGGAGGGGTGCAGGGGGATTGTGTACCAGGGAAGGAGTGTTTTGTTTCTTTTACTTTTGAAAGAGAGGAGCAAACTGGGGGCTAGGGGTGGGGGGCTGGGCGGGGAGAGAAGTGCAGCAATGAATGAATGGAAATCCAAAATCTCTGTAAATGCTCATTAAAATTATTTTTAAAAAATAAAAATAAACCATAAAAAAAAGTCAATTCTTAGGTGTGTTGTATGTAATAGATGCTGAAGATTATGACTAGTCCGGGTAATGTGATGGTTCAAAAACTCAGCTCTTAAATGAAGGGTTGATGGCTTGAACCCATCAGCAGGTCCATGGGAGAAAAGTATGGTGTTCTGTAAAGACTCTTGTTGTTATGTGCCCTCTGGTCAACCATGACTCATAGCAATCCTATGTTCAACAGAAGCAATGTTATCTCTTTATGACAACCCCACCGTTGTTGTGGTAATTGTTTTGATCTATCTTGTTGAGAACTATCCTCTCTTTTTCTGACCCTCTACTTTCCCCAACATGATCTCTTTTTTTTTTTTTCCCCCAAGGCCTGGCCTCTCCTGACAACATTCTCAAATTATGTAAGTCAAAGTTTCACCATCCTTGCCTCTAAGGGGCACCTTGTTTGCATTTCCTCTGAGACATAAATTTTTCTTTTGGCAGTGTATAGGAAATGCAGGACTCTACTCTAACAAGAGAAATCAAAGGCATCAATTCCTCTGTTATCCCTATTCATTGCCCAACTTTCAGAAGCATGTGAAGCAAAACCTTGGATAATGCATAACCCTGAGTTACTAGAACATAAAGAAATGATTGCCAATGAACCATTCGATTATGTGGCATACGGCCAAGAACCAATGGTAAAGAAGGATGAAGTCTAAGCTATACTGAGGGCATTGCCAAAAAACGCCACAGGATGTGATGAAATACGAATTGAGGTGTTTCACCAAACAGGTGCAGCCCTGGATGTGCTAACTTGTGCCAACAAATTTGAAAGACAGCCCCCTGACCACTAACTATACTAACTTCCACTAACTAACTACAGTCAATTGTTAATCCTATAGGAGAGGTGTATTCTGTCTTCTTGGGTTCCTATGAATAGGAATGGACTCAATGACAGTGGATTTGGTTTTATTGGAGAGGTTGATGAATAGTAAAACACATAATTTCTTCTTGTTAATAAATTCTCCTTGATCCTGCACAATCCTCACAATCTCTACTGTGCCAACATCCATTATTGTTGTCACTGTTTCAACTTACTGAGGATTTTCTCTTTCTCTTAACAATGAGTGAATTTTTTTTTAAGTGAACTGGGGGAGAGGGGAGGGAGGGCGAGGGGAAGAAATGTGCAATAAATGAATGAAAATCTAACTTCTCTATAAATATTCATTATAATCACAATTAAAATAAAATTTTGGAATGAGCATGATTAAGTGTTCTTGGGTTCCCATTCGTCTCAAAATGATCCATGATTTGTTATGATCCACAGAGTGAAATCCCTTTATATAGGTAATAAAACATAAGTAAACATCTTTCTGATGTTCTCTGCTTTCACCCCAGATCCATCTGGCTTCAGTATGATATCCTTTGTTCCATGACTTCTTCTGAAGTTTTCTGCCAAAGTTTCAATACATATTGTGGAAAAAAGAATAAATAACTGGATGATACTCATAGTTACCTAAGAGTTGACAATAGGAAAGATAAATAAACATGCATGTATGCAAACCCACATATCACATATGCAACAATATGGAGTCATGTTAAACACAGAGTACAGATGACTCTTGAACTGCATGTGCCATCTGAATGTGAATTATCTTTTTTCCATTTCAGTGAACTCATGTTTGTTGCTAATCATCTCAGCATTCCATTAAACGAAAAAGCAAAACAACAAAAGCCTGTGCACATAGACATGATTGTTACAAAGTATTTTAAGTGCATATTTGAAACACTTAAACTTGTTGCAAAAGTAACAAGGGAGTAAAGTCCACCGTTATGTAGACTTGCACAGTCCAAACTTTTGTTGTTCAGGGGTAAAGGATATATATTGTTTATCTCATTGCTCTTTAGGGAAAAGGGACTATCTTGGCAATAGTTGAAAGAAGAAATTATTTTTTTTTTAGGTACTCTGCTATTTTGTAGACATGACTGATTTATTCTGCCCATTTCATTATTTGCATTTCATACCTCTATTTTCTACATTAGAATCTGTCTCCCTCTAGTGGCATATTATTTCATTGTCCCTGAATTTTGGAAGTAGATGTTCAATGAGGTCTCTTTTTCTTTGTTACTGTGAGAAAGTCATTTAAAATTTTTGAGCGTCTCTTTCTTTATATGTACACTAGGGATAATGAATTTCACTTTAGAGAGATGTTGTAAAGGTGAAATAATATAACAAAACCAACTTAATGTATCTGAATTCTTAAACTGGGAAGTAGCAAATATTTAAAAACTGTGATTTTCATAATCTGAATCTGTGGCTCAAACCCTAAATGTAGTTGTGATCTCAGAATTCAAATAATATTAATGTCTCTTCAAAGATTACCAGTCTTTACTTAAAGTATGTACATTTTTGAGAAATTATCTACTGAATAATATCCTGATCTTTTTAA